AGGAGCAGGAGTAGTAGCAGTAGTAGCAGTAGCAGTAGTAGTAGTAGTAGTAGTAGTAGTAGTAGTAGTAGTGGTAGTGGTAGTGGTAGTGGTAGTGGTAGTAGTGGCAGCATGGCAGCAGCAGAGCAACAGCAGCAGCAGCAGTCGGCAGCAGCAGCAGCAGCAGCAGTGGTCGTCTTGTAGTGCTGGTGATCATAGGCGATCCTTGTGTGCGCAAGTATGCGATCTTGCAGTCAGCTATTGAGGGCAAGTGCAAAGATTGTCGACAAGGAGGTTCCGCATGTGCACACAGAGTAGTGCAAACAGGAGGATAAGGAGAAGGAGTCTGGAGCCGAGCACGAGAAGCCACAGCAAGCTGGCGCAATTCTCAGCTTGTGAGACCGGCACTCTTGCCGCAGGCTGCTGAATGTGATAAAGGGAACGGATTGCATGAGCTAGCAGTAGCACTACTTTATGCAGCATGCCTCAGTTTTTGACTTCACAAGGCCCGCGTGCTGCGGGCCGCGCTGAGGACGTGTGGTTCTCGGAGCAGTTGCTGAGAGCGCATCAAGAGGCAAAATAAACCAACGAAAAAGGCAGCACATGTGTATGGAAATACACACCACGCATGAGACACTGAGCACGATTCGTCAACCTCAGAAGCGCCTCAGTATGCCAAAGTATTGGACCGTACAATGAATACGGTGTCCCGGCTCGAGCAGGACCCCAGCACAGGCCCCAAACGGAGAAAAGACAGCCAAGTCCAAACGCATGTTGCAACTGCGCTGTTGGGGAAAATCCATGTGTCGGATTTAGGCTTCTGAGACTGAGAAGCTCGACAAACAGGCTGAGTGCCTGACTGACAGTGAAGGGGGAACAAGTTCTTGCCTGAGGTCCACTGAACATGTTTGGCCGGGATCCAAAACCAGCTGGGCCCCTGCAAGACCTAAGTCGCTTAAGAACAGAACAGGTGGGAAACCTAGGCAACGGCAGTCCACCGGACCCCCGGTTGACCTGAATTTCTAGGCATTGAGCTGTAGCTAAGGATCCTGGACGGAAAAGCAGGCCGGAAACTGCTACACAGTGTGCAAATCCACGAACTGTTTTTTTTCGGTTTTCAGAAGCCCGAGCGTCCGTTGTCATGTTGTTTGCAGGCCAGGTGCATCCAGCTCAACGCGTGGCACGGGGCCAAGATGCGCTGGCTAGACGGCTGCACACATGAGCCGCCAAAGTCGGTAGCACTCGTAAATGAATCGAAACATGAAATGATGCTCGGAAAGCAGCATTCCTCAAATTTCCTGAAGAAGGCGTGAGTTTGCGTGAGTTGTCAGTTCAAGAGAAATTGGCGAATTTCCCAATAATTAGAGTATTAATGAGTATTACGTTTTCTGCAACATCCATGGGTGCGACTTTTCTTGCAAGCATAGAGCGTTAATCAGGTGAGAGGCACGTTCCGCGCCTGTTGGGGCAAGGCATGACGCACATTTCGGAACAGAATCCCTCCGTGCCCCACATTGGTGCTCGAACATCGATGTTTTGCTGCTGTGTGCATTTCCTGACACGAGAAGGTGGAGATCCTGAAAACGATCGTAGTCTTGTAATAGCAGCATGTCTTGTTTGCGATTATCTGCGGAGCCAAATAAGTGGCAAAGTCCGACACTTGGGAGGTGTCACCGGCTTTGAGCTTCCCTCGTATGCAAGAGGGACATGTTCGACCCACAGGTTGTAACGATGTGCGAGGCCATGCGGTTCACATGGTTCGCCAACAGAGTGACAACGCTATAGTCACCAACTTCACCATCCATTTCTTTGTCAACATGCTTTGTGCTGCAACTCTCGTCTCCGGTCTCCTTATTATTATGTTTCCTTCATGAAGATAGCGGCGGGCATCGCAGCATCAGTTCTGACATTGCGCACGTCTCAGCATGCCTTCGGGTCGGATGGTCTGTTGTCTTTTCCGCTTCTCGTCCCAAACAAAGTAGTAGCACGTAGCAACACATGAGGTTCTTACGTTGTCGTCCAACTTGATGAAGCGTCTTGCCTGTTCTGGGGTGCATTTCGTGATCGTGCTAGGCATGGCTTGGTTGCTGGTATGTGTTTTCACTGTGTGCGTCCACTGCACGGGCATAGTCCTGTGGGCGCGTGAGCCTGGCCATGCGCGACCTCCAGCCACCTTACGAAGCCACGAAGGGTGACCAGCACGATTCAGCAACACCACAAAGAGTGTGGAACGATGTCCGCAAACGGGGTGTGCGCCCTCGTCTTGTTTCCCTTGGAAGCGCATGATGTTGTCAGCTTGATTTATATCCCCATGGGCACGGGCTTGTGGAAGCGAGATCGGAGAAGCTGGCTTCCCTGCAGTAGCAGAAGGACGCAGAAACGAGATAACAGCTTCAGGTTTGCCAAGAATGCGGTGACGGTGTTGCCGTCCCGCAATCCGATAGCTTCCTCATGTCTTCCGAAGTGCAGACCTCGAGCAGCCCAGCGGAATCTGAGTCGCAACATCGCAGATGCGAAGCTTCTGCCTCCCGGGGCGACCTGTCAAGGTATACACGTTTTCAGTGATACAGGAGATGTATGGAGTAAGTGAGTAACATTGAGTAACTAGCCTTTGCCAATGCCTTTCATGGGGAAATGTGGTGTGGATTATGCTGTACAACCTGGAGCTCCTCATGTGGAAAGCCTCCACAGCCTTTGGGTGTCTGGTGTATTTCTACCGACCGAGAGAGTTAGGACCAGGTTGACGGCTGGACATTGAGAATGCATGCAGTGACTGTGTGCCATCTTCAACGACACTCGCATGCTGGGACAAGGAGATGAGCAGCGTGCGAATCCGCGGGTGCTCCCTCGACATGTGCATGTTCGCAGCGGGACAAGTGGGATGGCTCAGCACTTCCAAGCAGGTGGCTGCGAACACTGCTGCTGCTCCAGAGGTTCCGCACCGCCGTTGCGTCGCCGCTGCAGCGAGAGTGCATCGTGAGGCTGCCGATCTCATCGCCAAGGTCGACAAAGAACTTGATCAGACGCAGAGCAAGGCTTCGGCTCCAGCGAAGATAAAGTGCGAAGTACTGCGAAGTGTCACAACGAAGGATCTGGAGACTCGACGCCGAACCTTTAAGGCCCGGCTTGGAGAGTCCAAAACCCAATGCAGCCTATCCAACCATCAATTAGTGATCGGCTAAGTTTGGCACGCGCCACTGCTCTCAGAACCTCATCCTCAAGTGGCATCCGGACAAGAACCATGAAGAAGTCCTGGCTGCGGAGGCTCCTAATTCGCATGACACGCGATGACACATGGCACTGCATGAGCAACCCTGCCATCACCGTCCAGTCAAGTGGATACCAGATTGACATATGAGCTGAAACATTCCCCGCCGCAGACAGTCACAGATGGCATAGTCTTGCAACAGATCCTGACACCTGCAGGTATTCCGCCACCTCATGTCTCGGCGAGGCCGCTATCTTGAGGTCACAGGGCCGCATTTCATTCTGTCAGTCGTTATGTCGTCCTTTTGATGTGTCCAGACAGTTTGTTGTGTTCTCTCTCTCTCTCTCTGTTTCATAGACTAGATGTCAGGCATGACTCGGCATGATGCACTGGCTGCAAGCTCGAGCCCACGCGAACTTCCAAGAAGTTTAACAGGGCAGCGCAGCCGCTCACGAGCTTAGGGCCGAAAGAAGAGTGCAGTGTAGTACACTGGCTGCAGCTCAACATGGGCTCGGGCCGCGTGGGAAAACGTTTGCTGCCGCTGCGCTGCGATGTCCAGCAGATTCCACGGTGTGCATTCTTGAATCGAAGTGAAGTTGCAAACGTGTCTTGTGATGTTTCGTTGAGGATCGCCGGTCTGTATCATGCTTTTGCACTGCGGCGCCGATGGTGCTTGGAGCATTGCTTTTCTAGATTAGGAATGTTTTCTCCTCTTGGCCCGACTGCTACCGGCAGTTGAGGACCGGAGCACACACTAGTCGCAAGCCGCTTGTGCCGGCAGCTCTCGGTCGTGTGAGGATATTAAATCGTCATGGACGAGAATCAGGACGACATGCGCGCAGTCACTGAACGGTTGATCTGATGTCCTGCGACCCTGGAGGAAGCAAGTCAGGAGGATCCAGACAGTCCGTTCCGAGGGCCTGATTCGAAAAAGTTGGCTCGGGCCCTTGCAGAGGGACATGTCATGGTAGTTTTACAGCTAGAAGCTGCTTAGAGGAAGTCTCGAAAGCTTGGCACAATCCATGTCCGTCTTTGCAGGATCAGCTGAGCCGTCAAGGATCACTTAGCGTGTTTCGAGATGTTGACATGGCACGTGCCTCGGTACTTCGAGCTGTCATCATCATACAGTAATGTGCCTGGTCACGGCTGGATAATATTGATCACATGCGTCCCATCAAGGAGGACCTGGTAGCTGATGCTGAGCAGCAGCTGGCGTCAGAACCAAAGTGGCCTGTCGTCAACGGTGTTGCCAAGAGCGGTCGTTTGTGAGATGGGATGTGCCATCAGGTACACCTCCAAAACCTTGGATGTGCCCGCCGTTATAGTCACCAGTGAAATCAGTCCCTGGCAGGAACCTCGGCGGGGCGGGGGGGGGGGGGTAACTCGCGACCCGCGGGCGGTGGGGTTTCAGGGATGCGCAGGTCGAAGTCAGGCGGCCTTGCCCTGGTCACCGCCTCGCTAGCAGGAGCCTTACGAGAGGGAGACGGTCAGCCTGCTGCGATAGACCGACTTGTAATGACTTGCCACCGAGGCGCTAGAGCTGGCCGGAAGAGGTAGACGCACGATGGCAATCAGCCCAATGTGCCCCGCCTTTGCGCGCACTTGTCGGACGTAACGAACACGACCTATCATGATTTGATCTGAAGATATCTCAAGGTCCGTGTCATCGGTTTACAAAACAGGGGGTTTTAAGCTGTAAGGCAATGTGTCCGAGAAAGTCTCGCACGAGTCTGGATTGCATGGGCTCGAGAGTGTGCGGAGCATGGCCTTGAGCGACGGACGAATTTTTGTCCAAGCTAATTGGGACTTCGCTTACAAAGAGACGATTTGCTCTTTTCCGGAACTCGGCTAGTATCGGTGCTGTCTTCTTTCCAGCGAAACCTTGCGGAGATGGTCAGAGAGGGAGCTGCTCACTATTGTAATATTTTGGCACTTGTACAGCGCCCATCAGCGCCCTTCGCGGGATAGGTATGACAATTTTGCGAACTGCAACTACATAGCTTCCAAAAAGCCTGGGCCTCAGCATGCCGCAAACTGAGTAGACTCCTGCAATTACTGTAATTTGCTTTGTGGGACTGGAAACAACAGCCAGTTTCTTTGTCCCTCTCATATCAAAGTTGAGTGGCTGTTGCTGTCTCTAAACTGCTGGTACTGTCTCAGTCTCAAAATGTCTCAAGTAAGTTGTTAGGCATACCATGACATGGTTGCACACACACACACACACACGAACGGCGGCAAGGCATCGCGGAATCAACCTTCACCCCTAACCAGGAGCCCGAACTTGAACAATAACTTCTACTGTACGGAAGAGACGGAACCCTCAATTGTGAGGTGAAGCGCCAAATAACAACAGAATCACATATAATTGGACCTGTTATTTCAAACTACGTGGTCCGCAATGCAGGACGAACATTTATAGATTCGCACTTGGTCGTATCCTCTAGGGTGTCCCATGGCGTCCCTGCCATGCCTGCATAGAATGTTCGGACAAACGTGCTCGAACGTGATGCAATATGGCAGTATGGACGCGGCGCGGGCTTTCCGAGCATCACGGTTCGGAACAAAAATGGCTAGTGAGGGCTGGTGTTGCAACCACATTCTTCGGGCCATGAGGCCGTAGACAGTATGTCGGAGAGTTCCCCTTCTTTTTGTTTGGGAATGTTTGGGAAGAGGTGTGGCCTGGGCCCTGGGATGGTCCAATGATGCGTGGGCTGAAGAACGATTGGACAAATCGCTGCGCGAATCACGGCCCTGCCCCTTGCAAGGTCGTGGGAATAAGTTGTTAGAAGTCATAATTTATAGCCCTGTTGTTTGCATCATGTCGCGCATGATCGATATGACATGGTCGTTGCAGAAGAACTCGAAAATAATGTCACGACAGTCGTTTCGCTCTGCTACGTCTTCGCCATGCGGCTGTCCTCACCCTTGCGTTTTGCAGCCCAGCAAACTCAGAAGCAGTCCAAAGAGTCCAAAGCCCGGTCTAGGACGTTTCACTTACGGCCTCGGGTGTCAAAACTCAGAAAGATCCACCAGGCCCGAGCTGCCGACGAAAACGGCCATTTGAAACAGCTGTGACAAGGACACACTGTGAATCACATGATGGAATCACTATGACACTGTCTTCAGGCGTTTTGCTTTTTGTTTCCCGCCAGAAAGGGACTCTTTTGGGTGGCCTGCAGGATTTTTTGGATGCCGTGTCTATTGTAGTGCGCTCCTTTTGTCTATAATGTATACTGTTTCAGTGACAGACCACATGTTTGTCTAGCTTGTCATTAAGTATTGTGTGCAAAGCAAGATTAAAATGAAGAGCAATAGTGGATTATGTTCAGTACTTCAGTGTTTGGCCTTCGAGGAAGGGAGGATGATGGGGGGGCACAAAAAACATGGCCCGCCCTGATGTTTCCCCCCGCAAATATGTTGTACATGCAATATTTCGATCTTACATACGTTTAAGGTAACACTGTTAGCATGTCCGTTCCAACACCGATGCCAAAGAGTCGTAAGTGATCAAAGGTGATAGACAAGCTACCACAAGTTATCTATTTCAGATATACCGGCAGAAAGACACAAAAAGGCTCAAGTGTGGTGATGCTGCCCTGAAGTTATGCGTGCATATGCTTCACACCACGTACAGGGAGGCAATGAGAAACATGGAAACAGGGTCGGGGAAGGTGTGTATTACTTACAAGGTGTTAATGCTGCAGTACACATCCATCCATGTGTGGGGGCAGAACGTATACAGCATGTTGGCAGGCAACAAGCTCGCACTCCGTCTGTCTTATAAGAGGTGTGCTTGTGGTTGGCCCGGGTCGCTTCTCAAAATTGACACTTACGGTTGCTGATATCGTCCTAGTCATGTAGTCATATAACGAAGAAAATGAAAGCGGTAACGTTTCTGAAAAGGACAGTCTTCCACCGAAAATGAGCACATGAGATGAAAGCGGCTTGAAATTAGTTCCAGACCACAGTCGTGGCATCCACTCCAAACTGAAATTGACATGCGGCCGAAGTTGCCGCATCAAGGTGCGGAAGGCACATACTTGTAGTTCAAAAAGCAGCGTTTGGGGGAGTTCTCTCAGGCGTCGATGGGCATTGCGTTCGAGACGGATCTTATCACTTCACACGGATTGCCGGCGATTTTTTCGCTGGATTCCGTCGGTGCCAGCTTGCAGGCATTGGCTTGGCAGGCCGAGTAAGACCTATGGATTGCATTGCAATCCCAACTCTCGCCCTTGAAACATCATGAACCTCATGTCATCTCATGTCATCTCATGTATCTTGTCGTGCGCCTTCAGCCTCAGCATATACTTTCCCACTTCTACAGCAGGCGGCTCTGTCCTTGGCTTCTCTGCCTCTCTGCAAAGAGTATCAGAATCAAGAAGTCCTGCCTTCATGAGTCTTCAAAACCAGCATACCCTTCCAGAGAATTTTGCTGCCTTTTGTCGTGCTGTGTTGCCTTTGCCACGGGTGCTGAAGCGTTTGCTTGAGCTATGCTAGGCCCCGCAGCGGCCCGCACGATCCCCAAACGCCCACCGAAGGAATCTCGACACGGTCTCTTCGATTTCAGGGAACCTGCGTTTGAAGTCTGGTAGCATGGATCTTTCCTCTCCATACGAGAGTCATGGTTGATGGATGTTACGGAACGACTGCCCCCGCCGACAAGATGACCGTGGGCCACCAAGCATGCATGTCCCCCAGTGCCATGAAAATGGGTTGGGAGACATGTGAGTTAATCGTCGGCACGGTAAGCTATTCCAGGCAGAAGGATCTCGCATCGGCCGTTGTGTTACCGAAACAGGAAAGCCGTCCTTGACGGGCCCAGGGTCTAGAAATCTGGTGAGTTTATGGTGAGCATAAGAATAGTGCGGCTGAGGATTTGGCTCTTCCACGACGAGCATGAGGTGAAGCGCGCCTCCCAATCTTCCGTTTCTTCCTGCTGAGCTGAGGGGCTGGAGCGGAGTGGTTGATGTGAGCAATACCTTGAGGTATTATCACCTATGGCAGCCTCTGGAGGCAGAAGGCAGCAAAGGCGGGGTGTGTAGGCAGCGCAGCTGCGAAGGCTCTGCTTTTGATTGGGATGTCTCAAGGCCTCTTGAGGTGTGAAACGAAAAGGTGATGCCGTGCCAAAATCGCGACAAAGCCTGCAGGCGTTGACTACGTGTTTGTTGACCATCCTTGCTACCATCGGCCCGGAGGCCAGGCAGCCGGAGTCTATTAGGAGATGTTACTTGTGGGAGCTGTGGGCGAGCTTCAGAGTCCGCCCCAAGCATTGTGTGTACTGACCGACTCGCATCACAAGGCGTTCATGTAGTTCCTGTGATGTTGCAGCGACCTACAATGTCTGAAATTCAGCCAAGGTCTCTACTATAATGCAC